TATATTGTTGTTTTGGTTTTTTGTTGTTGTTGTTGTTGTACCTAGGATTGAATTTGGGTCTTTGTGCTTGTAAAGCAGGTGTTGGAACCACTGAGGTAAATCCCTGGCCCTTTTTAAAAATTTTTTTTGAGGCAAGGTCTCACTATGTAGTTGAGACTGACCTGGAACTCACTATGTCCTCCAGGCTGGTCTCAAAAGCACAGCGATCCTCCTGCCTCAGCCTCCAGAGTGCTGGGATTACAGGCGTGCGTACTTTTCATGATTTTAACTTGTATTTCTCCAATGACTAATGGTATTGAACATCTTTTCATGAGCTTATTTACTATGTCTTCTTTGGTGAAATGTTTGTTTTTTTGGGCCATTTCTGATGGATTTTTTTCCTATTGAGTTTTGAAATTCTTTATGTAGTCTAGATACTAATCCCTTGTCAGAGATTAGTTTGCAAATATTCTCTCCCTGGCTGTAGCTTATCTTTTCATTCTTCTTACAGAGTCTGGCCTGTTCATTCATTCATTCATTTTTGGTCAAACTCAGGAACTTGCACTTGTGAGGCAGGGCAGAACCACTGAGCCAAATCCCTGGCTCTGGCCTTTGCTTTTTTTTTTTTTTTCCAGCTTTAATTGAGTTTATTGGTACATTTTAGGGATACAGTACAGTTACATTCATTGTTGGGATCTTGTACCTCTACATGACAGGTCTTTGTTCTCATTTTTTCCCCTTACCCCTGCCCTCCCTTTTGGCCTTTGCTTTTTTAAAGGCTTCTTTTTCTTTAAAAAGAATAGATGAAATTACATTGATATTATCATATTTATTATTACCAGTGGTTACTTTTCTATTGTTTTTAATATAAAAGTACTATGTAGATTGTAGATTCTTTATTTGTAAATTGAGTTTTCATAGTAAACTTGCTGATTGAAGTTGACCTTTAGTGGCCCATCCTGTAATCCCAGTACTGCAGCCTCATACTGCTTTGGAGGTATTACAAGAGATAAAGAAATACATTAGCTCCTAAGATGGGTGTGGTGGCGCACACCTGTAATCCCAGCACTTGGGAGGCTGAGGCAGGAGGATCGCTGTGAGTTCAAGACCAACTTGGGCTACACAGTGAGTTCCAGGTCAGTCTCAACTACATAGTGAGACCCTGTCTCAAAAAAACCGCCCCCCCAAAAAAAAAAAGAAAAAAAGAAAAGAAATACATTAACTCTTTGAATTATAATGAAATACGTACCTATTATAAGTTTTGTTCTTAAATGGTGCCTTTTCTGTTTTTAAGCTGTTAGCAAGTAGATGAGTAATTTTTTGTGAGATGAAAGTTAATGTGTGTCAGATACTTCACGCACTTCCTTTTTTTTTTTTTTTTTTTACTTCACGCACTTTCTGTCATTTTTCCTTCACTTATTCACAAGTTTTCTCTTCTCCCTTTGTTGTGACGCTCTAAAGAGTTGTTGAGTTTTGAACCGAATGAGAGCGGAGCGCTGACCTTGTTCTGTGGGTCTTCTCAGAGTCTGGCCAGCCCATCTGCGGGAACGGGATGGTGGAGCAGGGCGAGGAGTGCGACTGTGGCTACAGCGACCAGTGCAAGGATGAGTGCTGCTTCGACGCCAACCAGCCGGTGGGGAAGAAGTGCAAGCTGAAGCCCGGAAAGCAGTGCAGGTAGCTCACGAAGCTCAGTAACGCTCTGTTCGTGTTTCTGCCAGGTCCCCCAAAGGCGGTGACGGCAGATTTGTGACTGAGCTTGAGAGATGCATGGGGTTGTGGAGCTTTGTCTTTCTTTGTTGTTGTATTGTTTTGTTTATTTTTCTGAAACGGCTTTTAGTACGCTGTTGTTGGCAGTTTGAACTACCCATGATCTGTGTGGTGGCTGTCAAAAGACATACAGAGGCTGCTCATTAGAATATATATATATAATTTGTTCTTAACTTTGAAGATGCGAGAATCTTCTATTCACTTTCAATATTTAGGTAATTACAGAGTACGTACACTTTTTGACTTGGTGTCATGCAGTAATCTCACTGTCAAATACTTCACTAGTGATAGATTATAAGCAATAGACTATAGTTTCTTTTTCGTTTTTTGGTACCAGGAAATGAACTTGGGTCCTTGCGCTTGCAAGGCCAGCCACAGCATAAGAATGTGAGAAAAACTGATAAATTGACCTGTGTATAGTGTAATTGTGAGTAAAAACTGACAAGTTGCTTAATATTAAATCCATCTTCCATTGCAGCATTCCACAAAAGGCCACTACAGCAAGAATGCTGAATATACAATGCTCTGACTAAAAACTAGGTGCTTACCCTACCATCTTCCTATGCGCACTATAATGTTCAAATATAGTAGCTTCTTTTTACATCTAAGGCTGTATACCAGTAGCATACTTAAAATTTAAAAGATAAGATTTGTGATTTAAAATCAGGACCATCTCAGTATCTAGAAAACACCTGGTAATTTACTTTGTTTAATCACTTAATGTTTCTTCCAGTCCAAGCCAAGGTCCTTGCTGTACAGCACAGTGTACATTCAAGTCCAAGTCTGAGAAGTGTCGGGATGATTCCGACTGTGCGAGAGAAGGGATATGTAATGGCGTCACAGCTCTGTGCCCGGCGTCTGATCCTAAACCAAACTTCACAGACTGTAACAGGCATACACAAGTGTGCATTAATGGGGTAAGCATTAAATTTTATGTTTTTTTAAATTTTAACTTTATAAAACCTACTTTTTCAGAGTAATTGTTGACATGTTAAAGCTACATAAAGTAATTAATCTTGGTCTCTGTTTCAGTAATATTTCTGTCTGTTTCCCACAAAGCCAGGAATGGATTAAGTGGCACAAGTGCCTGGTGGCATTCAGTTAGCTACTGACTTGCCTTTCATCTTTCCAGTGACATTGTTCAGTATTAACCTGGGGAAACAGCAGTACAGCTAGGCCTGTGACTTTGTCTATATGGCTTTTAAATTTTATAAATTAATATTTCAGTTGCCTAAATAAAGTAACTCTGAATCATTTTCTCTGAATGTGAAGCCTTTAAAGCTTTCATGGCTATCACTTTCATTCACCTGAAGAAAATTCATTTTTCTCTGCTTATGGAGGAGGCATGTTAACCAACATGAAGTTGATGCTTATCTGATCTCTTTCTCTGCTTTTGTTCAAGTTTAGTTTTTCTTGTTGCCATTGCCTTTAAAAAATGTGTTTATATGATCAAGTTCTAATTCATCTGTGTATTTTATTTTGTGGTGCTGGGGATTGAACCCAAAGCCTAGCACATGCCAGGCAAACACTGTACCACTGAGTTACATTCCCCCACTCTGTGTTTGTTGTGTTGTTTTTCTACTTAATTATTTTGATATTGGAAGACTGTACCTGCCTGTGAATAATAGGCCTGGCCGCACAGGGATGAAATAACTTGTCTTTTGTTCCAGCAATGTGCGGGCTCCATCTGTGAAAAGTATGACTTGGAGGAGTGTACCTGTGCCAGTTCTGATGGCAAAGATGACAAGGAGTTATGCCATGTCTGCTGCATGAAGAAAAGTAAGGCTTTTAAAATACAAGAGTCTTTTTACAGAGTCTTTCATAAATCATCATTTTCTCCCAAATTTTAAGCATTGCACTTTGACATACAGTCTGGGCAAGTAGTTTCCAGCTAAATCTATCTTCTTGAGAAAGTTTAAATATACATAGTATTCTGTCTATAGCAATACGATTCCTACAATGTTTTTAAGTGACACATTAGACAAAGCATTACTTTGTATAAACTGAATTTGGAGGGTTTAAAGCCTTTGCAGGTACTAAGTCAAGACTTACTGTTGTTTGCTTCTGTTGTAACATTGAAGGTGAGTTATTAATGGCGTTATCCCGCTGATCTAGGGAAGGGCTATTTAACATGTCATGGTAGTGATTTTGGGCAGATTCCTCTTTCCTGTTTTCTTTCCCCAACTGGCCCATTGGGAAACCTGATCTTCAGCTTACACTTGACACTTCTCTTCCAGTGGAGCCTTCCACCTGTGCCAGCACAGGGTCTGTGCAGTGGAGCAAGCATTTCAGCGGTCGCACCATCACCCTGCAGCCTGGGTCTCCTTGCAATGATTTCAGAGGCTACTGTGATGTTTTCATGCGGTGTAGATTAGTGGATGCTGATGGTCCTCTAGCTAGGCTTAAAAAAGCAATTTTTAGTCCACAGCTCTATGAAAACATTGCTGAATGGATTGTGGTAAGTATAGTGTTTATTTTTAAATGATAAAACATTTTTAGTTTCTTTTTTTAGTATATGTTTGCATACATAATAATTACATTCATCTGGAAAGTTAGTACATATACATATTGCATCTTAAGGATTGTGATAAATATAGTTTAATTTATAAAGAAAACTTAAAATGGTTGGACATTAATTTTCCTAGGCCACAGTTTAATGATGTGGGAAAATCATGTGTTTCCTGTTTATACTCACATTCCTTTATTTGAAGATTTTAAATATCTGGTTATAATTTTATTTTGAAGTGATTAGACCTCCACCTGCATGTCACTCGAATCTCAGGAGGTGCTAGGAGCAGTTGTGTTTCTCTGCTCCCTGGACGGGTTTTCTCCTAGATAGGGTGACTTCCTCTTGTCCCTGTGATGGGGGCATTTCCATGGATCTTTTTCCTCAAGTTGTTTTGGAAAGTCCTGCTTGCTTTTCTTACTTCTCACTTCTCTCAGCATGACAGAGAGCCAGCTGTGAGTTCTACTTCGCTGAACAGGATTGATGAGGGAGAAATTGGTGATTTTCTGAAGCTTTTGTCTGATCTTTCAGTCCAATTTCTGGGTCTTCATCTAGTCTGTGATAGTAAATGTTGATATGGGTAGGATAGAGACAGAGCCTTTTGTGTATCTATTTGTGATTGTGGATGATCATCCAGCATTAGTCCATGGAACTGGACTTTACCTATTTATGCTAAAAATTGCAATTTTTTGAGTTTGTGCATGGAATTCACATATATATTACCTAGAAAAATTCAAGGAACAAGAATTTGAAGATAAAAAATTTCATTATGTTCTGTTGTAATGGGCATTCAAAAAATGGAACACTAGACGTTGAAGGCTTAATTTTTAAGCACATTTCTCCAAATTGTAAAAACATTGAATTTCTTAAAAGATTACTGATGCCTCAGCTTACTTACTGTCCATGCATTCTGAATGATTGTATTAAAGTTTCTGTAGGAAATGGTGTGTTTGGGAATGTGTTTACCTGAAGTGAATGTAGTTTGCTTTGGAAATTGACTTAGAGGTCACATACCCTCCATTTCCTAAAATTTTTTTTTATTGTATGTTTCTCTGTATGTGTGTGTGCTTGGGAATAAGGAGACCTTGAAAATACAAAACAGTATTTGTATGGGATGTCAGCCCTTTGTGTACTCTTCCAGTAACACTCTGCAATTAAAATTATGTAGTGATCTCCAGCATCAGGTGGGTGTCTATTATACGTGGGAGAATAGCTTGCATGTTATAATAATGTATGACTACATATGTCATGACTGTATGGAGGGGAGTGGTTGGTATCAGAGTTAGGAGACGTAGTTTCAAGTCAGATAACTGGATATTTGATTTAAGTCTCCTTAAAACACAATGTATTCCTCGTATTTGTATTCCTGTGGTTGTCGCCTAATCAGTGGTCAGTGAATGAGAAGTGAGGGGCCATCCTGGCCCATGATATAGTGGCAGGGGACCAGGCTTGGCAATCGCTTAAGGGTTCAGATCGTCTTTTCTTGAATTTATCTGTGATTTCAAGCTGCTCACTTTTCTTAGCTTTTTATTTTTCTATTTTCAACTCAGATCCAGTTATTTTTCTCATTTTTTACTTTCTCCCCTTTTTTGATAAGAATAAGTTATAATCTGGTATACTCATACTATAGAGGGCAGTTATACAGAAAAAAACTCTGAGATCTTAGAGTTATACTCTACTGAGTATATGTTGTGTTAGATATTTTTTAATTCTATATAATCTCACTTTTTTTTTTTTAGATTGGTTTCAAGCGCTGGGGCTCAGGGGATCCTCCTGACTCAGCCTGCCAAGTAGCCGGGACTCTCTTGCCTCAGCTGGGATTACAGGAATGCGCCATCATGCCCAGCTCATTTAGAATTTTAAAAGCTCATTTGTTCTCACTTTAAAAGTATCTAATAGAGTTGATCTTTGAAGTATTGTAAAACCTTTCTTATATTTTAAGTTAGTAAATTTATTGAAACACTTCTCAGTGGTTTAGTAGCATGAAACCTTTTCTTGAGTTGAGGAATTGATGGACTAGGCACTTCTGGTGTTGATGCAGTTTGCCTTAAGTGAGTATAGAATAGCACACACTTGTTTTTGTGGTTTTTTGAAGCAAAACGTTTATTGGTACATTTTAGAGACACACAGTGATGACATTCGTCATAGGGAATTTGCACCTGTACGTGATATATCTTCTTTTTTTCCCAGTCCTCTCCACATCCTTTAACTCTTCCCCTCATTTACAAAAGCTTTGTTTCCATTTTTTCCTTCTTTTTTTCTTGTTTCCTTCTTTCCTTTTCCCCTCCCTCTCCCTTGTTCCCCTTCTCATTTGAACATTTCCTTCCCATTTCCCAGTGTCCTTATTTCCATTCTCAGTTCCTCACACCAGAGAGACAGTGCAGCATTTACACATAGCACATGCTTCTTTGTTGTCGTGGGGTTTGATACGCTGCTCTTCCACATGGCCTTGTCTCCCAAAGCCTAAAGAGCAGGCTCTAACCAAGCCAGGCAGTGAGATTGCAAACTGCGGTTTGGTCTCCTTTGCTTGTGTGCAGAGCTCACGAGGGAGCAGGATTTATTTTGTAGCGTTTGTAGCTTGTGGCCTGGCTTTCATCATAGCAGGGCAGTGTAATTGTAGTTGGTCAGGCTGTTGAGATGCTGTGGTGTGAGTAAGAAGCTAAGGGAGAGGCGAGAGGTTATTTTGACTGCTTTTGCTCTCCAGTACTGCCTCAGGGCTTTTTGTGTCCCTTTGATGGAACTTTCCTCCCACAGGGTAGGACAGGCAGACCCTTAACAGTGCAGCACTTCCTGGCTCTGTCAGCTAACTGCTACTGTTGCCATGGAAATGATACTTTTCTGTGGAAAAGTTGTTTTTAGGTCTTTTCAAAATATATTCCTTATGTTTGCTGAATACCTACTGTGTGCCTACTGTTTGCCTGGCTAGGAGACAGTGATAAACTTACGTCCTTTAGATTTGTGAAGGAGTCGCCTGGTTCTTAAGACATTTTGAGAGCATTCACTAGTACATCTCTTGAAACCACATATCTGTCTCCTTTTCTTTTAAATGGGAGTTGGGGGGATCATTAGTAATTCTTCCACAGGAGTGGGGGCATTAGTAATTCTTTCTAAATTTCCTCCATAGCTGATGTGTTATTTTCAACATCATTTGTGTTAGGCTTGACATTTAAGAAAAGCATCTTTTACCTTTTTTTCAGATTTATCATTGTGTGCCTTCTCCCTTTTATTTCTTGTTATTTCGTGGGTTTACAAAAATCTGTTCAGATTTATCAAGAGTTTGTTTTTTTAACGAGAGTCACTGTTGTCTCAATTTGACATTTTTTCCTATATTTGATCTAATATTATGAACTGAAGTATTAGTACCTTGTGTTCTTTTTGAATGAAAGATTTAGAGCACTGTTTCCTGAATGCTTCACAGAATACAAGATCCTGTCCAGGTTGGGTGGTCAGATACTTCTGGAAGACACTGCGTACCATAGTCCTCTCAGAGATTTGGGAGAAGTCCTGTAAAACATACGTCCTCTCAACTTCACTTTCCCAGTTGTACTCAGTCCCAGAAACCTTTATTCTTGTAAGGCTTTCAAAACTCTAAAGATCAGAAGACTTCATCTGGTGAAGCACTGAGAGTCACCTTAGGGCTTAGGCCAATTAACTCACATTTCTTGGGATGGTGTAAGTCGCTGGATGTTTGAAAAGTATCCAGCTAATTCTGATGGAGAGCCAGGCTGAGAACCCCTCATTTAGAACAGGTTTGCAAAATTTCCAGCCACCCCCGATTATTTTTGTATGGCTCATAAGCTAAGAATAGTTTTAACGTTTTTAGGTGTTTTAAGCAGATTTTTGAAAATCAACATTCTGTGAAAATGATGAGAAATTCAAATTTTTGTGTTTGTAGATAATACTTTACCAGAATGTGGCCACACCCATTCATTTACATATTGTCTGTGGTTGCTTTGTTACTGATAGATTGTGACAGAGACTGTGTAGCCTCTCAAAACCTAAAGTATTTGTCTGGGTTTAACAGGAAATATTGGCCAACATCTGGTCTAGAGCAGTGATTTCAAGTACTGGTCCCCTGACCACACAGTGTGGTTGTCATCTGGGAACTTGGAGAAATACAGATCTCAGGCTCCACCCAGACCTATAGAGTAAGCAGGCATTGGTGTATGCTACACTAATGTGTTTTTCTCTGTCATCCTGGTGGATTGAAAATGGAAGACAGCTCTAGACCTCTAGAGTCCTCCATTGCCTAGTAAAATAGGTTACATAGCACTTCTCAAAATTTGACATCAAAAGCGCAGTGTTATCTGGGCTCACTGCTAGATGAACAAAGCAGACTTCTTTAATGTCATAATTTATATTGCATATTAACTCTGAAGCTTTGGTGTTTTCCTGTTCCCCTCGCTGGTATTTTATCCTGCTTGCCCAGACCACACCCAAAGTAACCACATTTAGCAGCCACTTGCTTCTTGCTAGGCAGATTGCTAATGGTGAAGGGATTTGAAGGCCAGGAGAAGAGAATTTGTCACAGTCCAGATTAGAGTGGCTTCTGAGGGATAGAAAGGAAGCTTCCTGTGCCCTCTAGTTTCCCTGGTATCTATGAGAGGTAAGAGCCTAGCACGTGGATGACATTCATTAAATGCTTACGAATGAATGACAATTGTCCTTTGTTTCAGACTAACAGGTCAACAAATTGTGATCCCCTCTTTTTTCTTTTTATTTTGAGAGTGGGTCTTGCTAAATGCCCAAACTGGTCTCAAAGTTAAAATGCTGTTTCCTCAGCCTCGCAGAATGTCATGATTACAGATGTATGTCAGCATGCCTGGCCTGTGATCTGTTAAGATAAAACACATACTTGTATTTACCAGACAAGTTGATTTATGGCCTCAATTTTATAGTATATAAAAAGATAAAACACACCATTTAGCTCACTGTGATAATTCTCTTTTAAAGAGAGTATTATTAAAAACTAAAATTATCAGGGTTGACTGTGCTTAAAAATACACCATTATTTTATTTAATTTTTCTTGCTTTTTTCTGTCCACTGCCATCTTCCATTCCCCAGGCACTAAATTCTGAAAGATTGCTATTACTGCCACTAAAACATTGCAGGTTTTGGGCTTCTAAGATACGTAGCTACCTGGAAAATTTTGGAGGAAGGTCTAGTCCTACTAGGAACTAAAAGTTTTCAAGTGCTCAAATGATATATTTTAGTAATATCTGTCGGGATAAGTTGTGCCCCCCAATACTGGGGGTCAAACCCAGGGCATTACGTGTACCAAGGCAAATAAATGTCTATGAGCTATGTCTCCAGTCTTTTAAAAAAGTTTTGTGAAACAAAGTCTTGCTGAATTGCCCAGTTTGGCCTGGAACTTTTGATTGTCCTGCCTCAGCCTCCCAAGTAGCTGTGATTACAGTGCTGTACCACCACATCAAGCTGGGACTCTAGATCCTTTTGATCTTTTGTTTATCCATGGTTAAATCCAAGCTTTTTTGCTTACTCTTTTTCTCTTATTGCCATACTGCTTGCATTGCTCTGTTTTTCTACTGTGTAAGTACTGAAAAACTAAGCAGCATCACAAACAGTTTTTAGAGACCCTTTTGTAAGATCTGGGTCACATTATTTGTAGGCAAACGAGAAATAAATGAACCATTAGCTAGTTCAAGGTTAGTATTTGGAAAAATTACTCACCTGCAATAACTAGTTTCATAGCTCTGTTTTGTCTTGTCTTGTTTTGTTTGTGCTAGGGCTAAGATGGAAAGATATAGGTCAGGAAATTTACAGTCTAGTTTGAGATAGAGAATACGGGCTCATAGAAGTATATTTTCAGTTTTGAATGCTGTTTTCACAGAGAGTAGGAGAGTCTATTGATTGTGTTGTTTTGTCTTGGTGTGGTGCTAGGGATCGTCGCCAGGGCCTCATACAGGCCAGACAAGCATTGTGTAAGAGGCCCGGCTCCGAGGAAGCCCTCTTGGAGAAAGTAATGCTGGAGCTAAGCTCTCCAGGACTAAAAGCAGGGGGTCCAGAGGTGTATGAAGGAAAGGAGGGACATGCAGAAGTCATAGGAGTATGAAATTTACAAACTAGGAAATTCTTGTTACTGTTTTCTTTTGAAAGGTTTGATGATTCTTTGACAAAATAACAAGTTCAGAAATAAACCTTCTTTTCACTCTGGATCCAGTCTTCCCTAGATGAATTTCTTTTGTATTCTTTAGAAACTGTGTCACTGTAAGAATATACACTAAGGAAAAGATGAAGGAAGTCATATCACATATATTGACTATACCTTGTGTAATCAGGTTTTACTAATGTTTTTGCTTTTTCTGTTTCTTGATGTTGTATCTTGAAGATCTTTGGGAGGAACCTTTTGAGGAAGAATTCTAGTAAGGGACTCTGTACTCTGCATAGTCTTGGCACAGTTGGCCACTTGGAAGGTGGTTGCGAGCCGGGAAGAGTAGGAAAGCTTTGTGTTAGTGGTGACAGCATTAGGGACAGAAGCATCTCCTGTCACAACGTGAGCTGTCACCTGAGAGCTCTCAGGGCCTGGAGCTTGTTGCACGTGATGCCGCCTCCCCGGAAGACATTTGGAAACATGCAAAGGTTATCAGAGTAACAGGCATTTGAGAGATGGGGCCAGGAATGGTAAATGTCCTGCATCGCTCAGAATGGTTCTGCCCCATTTTAACAGACTGGGGAGGTCCTGTACTCTGCCGCTTGATAATAGCTGGTCTGTTATTTGAGGGTGAATAAAACAAAAAAAAAATGAGTCCGTGGAAAGTTTAACGGGAATATCTTCAGAGACTACCCAGGAGAGTAGAGCACTGATACTTGTATAGGAAACAAAGTCTGGCAATCTCAGTAGGAAATAAGTGGTTTTTTAAAAAGTAGTTTGTAAACTTGGTGTTTTCCAGTCCAGGTTCATTCTCGTTAACCTGCCCACACATTGTTTTTACAGATTTTGAATGAGTTTGCCAGCAACTAAAAACATCTTTCACATAAAAATTCAGATTTGTAGCTTCTCTTGAACAATCCCACATTTCAGCAGTAAGGTCACATTACCTGACTTGTGTGTATTTGAGTTGCAGTCAGTCCATGCAGTTATGGGTGACAAGAGGGTTAACAGGAGACACCTTTCACAGATTGCAGAATCAAAATAAAGAGAAGGAAAGTGGCTGTGGGATTCTGCTAAACAGAAATCTAATCTGAGGATTATGTGGTACATTTTGAGGAACCGCACTAAAGTATAACTCGTTTTATTCACTTTTGAAATGAAAATACTTGTCTCCTCTTTCCCTTCTCATTTTTTGAGCATTTCATTCTTGAAGCCATTAGAGGAGGCCAAGCAAGGCAGGTGCCTCAGTAGAGGAGAGGTGTGTTTGGGCTCAGTCCATGGGTGGTTGGCAGCGTGATCACATCCTGGTGGTCGGGAAGCAGAGAGGGAAGGGAGTGAAGGCAGGAGCTGGTAGGGAGATGTGTCCTTCCACCAGCACCCGCTTTCCCCCAGCAAGCCAGCTGGCCCCGTCCTCTTCCAGAAGCCCCACATATAAGTTCATGGAGCTAGAGTAGAGAGCTCACCGTAGGCGTCGGAGACTGAGGAGGTGGGAGGGTGGGGAGGGGAGGGGAGACCAACTGCGCAGGGTGTCACACCCAGGCAGGGGGAGCCCTTCTGCTTCCCTTGTGGAGGGGCAGCTATGAGTGGAGTGAGGAGAATGTCCGCATAGTGGGAGCCGGATAGGGAGGATGCAGGGCTCGGCAGGAAAATGCTGGTCCAGGGCTGGGGTAGGGGCAGAGGAACAGGGTGACTCTGAGACATGTGCCAGAAAGAGGTACTCAAGGGAGGAAGGGGACATGTCCAAAAAACATGATATGACAGTGGGCTGGCTATATGTAGCCCACTGCATACAGTAGGAATAAGTACATAAATGAATTAAGGAGTTTGACAAAGAATAGGATATTTACATAGCTCCAAATATGTCTTTACAAAATACTCATTGATGCCAAAAGAGAAAAGGACTCAGTGCCGGAGTTTGGCAGATACATCTTGACCAGAGATGAAATCGGACTCATGAGTTGCCTGCTAGGGTGCAAAGAGGAGAACCCCTCATTCTGTGATCTTACCAAAGGATGCATAATAGGATTCTAATAGTAAAGAGCAGAGAAACTCAGTGGGAGGGACGTTCCCATTCCAGATAACTGCCTTGCGCTCTTCTGAAGTGTCAGAGACAGACTGTGGCACCTTTCCAGACCTAGGGGCAGGGCAGCTGAGAAAACAGCAGCTCATACAGCCTGTGACTTGGAGCCCCATGGAATTGTGACAAACAGACGAGCGGCGGAGCTTGTTGGGGGCTGGGGCCAGGTGGCAGTGCTGGGCTGTCACTGACTCCTGAGTTTGCTCTGTGTTCTAGCTGTCTGGGAGCTGCGTACGTGTGCGGCGTGGGGGTGTGGTGAGTGCAGTTCACTCAGCCTTGTCAGGTGTTCAGAAGCGCATACTGTACTTGCAGCCTTTCTGTAAATGGGAAGAATTCATACAGAAAAAGTGACTGGGGGTATTTTGCCACAACATACATTTTGTATCTACGCATCTTCATTTCTGGGTACACAATACAGACAGAGGCAGTGGGCTGATTGTTTTAAGACTTCAGATCATAGAAAATTTTTTTCAGTGAGAGTTTTGCCAGAAATAATTAGCAGTAATTGTGTATGTATTATAACAATCTGTATTAAGCCAATGTGAAAATTCAGTTTTAAAGTTGTAAATAGGTTGTGTTTAGAAAATATTTATTGATACATGCTATCTTGAAATGGCTTGAATATTTGCAGTTGCAAAATGGAATTTAAGAATGGAAGTAACAATTTTCCTATAAATAAGATTATACTAATAGTAATTTTTGAAAATTTTGTTTGGCTTACTGATTTGTTTAATATGGTTTAAGTGAAGTTTTTGCTTCTTTCTCAGATGGGGTACACTTCATTGTTTATATCTTCCATTTTTCCTATTAAAAGGTATTTAACCTATAATGAGTTAATGAGAAGAAAAAAGATAACTATATGAGATTGAGATATATAAGAATACTTTCATAAGAGTAGTTTGGCCCCAGATTTCTAGTGACGTAGGTAAAGAAAGGGGCTGGAGGTGTTGCTTATTGTAAGAGTGTCTAGCTGGTGCACAAGACCCTGGGTCCCCTTGCCAGCAACCCTCCTCCCCCACAAAAGAAGAAGAAGAAGAAAAGGAGGAATTCTCTAAAGAGAATTCTTCCACGTGTGGTGGTGTAAAAATGTAACCCTCGAACTACATAAAGAAGTGAGTTCAAGGCTAGCTTGAGCTATATAGCAATTCTGTCCCCAAAACCAGAAACGACAACAACAATGACAATAAAAAGATGAGGGACAAAGGATTCCAGTCTTAACTTTGATAATAAAATATTACAGGTTAAAAAGTTTTCAGATTCTATCCAGTAGTAGAGGGCTAGGTATTTAGCTCAGTGGCGCCATGAGCACAAGGTCCTGAGTTCAATCCCCGGTACCCGCCTCCCGACAAAATCTATCCACTAGTAGAATTTAAAGCAAGGTACATACTTTAAGCCTCAGGGAATATAAAAACAACATACAGCCAATAAACGTAAGAAACCAAAAAACAAAGGAAATGTTTAAACCAGAAAATACTTAATAATGTGGGAAAACAGTGTAAACTGTATGCAGGGTGACCCAGTTTTGCATGTGTGTGTGTATAACAAATGTAGTTTAATGTAGAGAGTCAGAAAGGAAGAGTGAATGGTTAACCTTTGGGGGGTGAAGTTATGAATGATTTCTCTCGTCTCCTTTAAACGTTTTTATACTTAAGAAATTAATATATATGCACACATTCTAACCAATCTTCTTTAAAAATTAAACTAGATTCTGCTCCATAGTTTGTACCCTGAACAATTCATAGGAAACTGTTTGTTTGTAGGCGCATTGGTGGGCCGTGTTGCTCATGGGCATTGCCCTGATCATGCTGATGGCCGGCTTCATCAAGGTGTGCAGCGTCCACACGCCCAGCAGTAACCCAAAGTTGCCTCCTCCCAAACCACTTCCAGGTAAGGACGTCAGAGTAAAGCGTGTGTCCATACAGCCCCTAACTGTTTTTGCAGATGGCACCATCCATGAGTCCATAGTAACTAATATTACAGAACTTTCTCCTGGAGTGTGGAATTATCTGGTGCACATGATTTCGTTGATGTTTAAGTGCTTATCAGTGAATTCTAGCTAATGGCTGCCATTTTGATGCTAATCTTGCATGTCCAGAAACACACGAAACTAGAAACTTTGAGTTTTGCTTGTTTGTTTGTTCTCTTGGTTTTATTTTGTATTCTAACCTTTCTTTATTTTTATTTTGGTAGCTAAGCTACCTTTGAATGCTTGGTCTTTCTATTTGATGGCTGTGGTTCTGTTACTGTTTTTAATGTTGTGCACATGAAATACTTCCTGAAAGGGGTAGTTGAGTCCCGGGCTTGAGATTTGGAGGTCCCCAACCCTGTGGCTTAAGCCTCCACAGAACCGGTCACAGAGTCCAGTCTCCCCCATTTACCTCCCAGGAGACACGGCTTTAGGGAGAGACCCTCTTTGGTTTTGCTCTGGGCCCTTGGAGAGGAGTGCAGGAGAGGAGACGGCTGCTCCAGATTATTCTGTCCTCATCTGTTTAGTCCTCCTGTCTCCAAAGTAGTTGTGGCCTTTGCACTGCCCTGGGGACACCTGTCCCTTGCAGTAAGAGGTAGCGTTCCCTCCTGCTTCTCAGAGAGGCCTTGCCGCAGCCTCATAACCTCATAACCTAGAGGTCTTTCCCCCTTTTCTGTCTTCTCCCAGCTGTTCCCTGGCTTTTGCTTGTTTGGAGGCAAGACAGCCCAGCGGCCTTGCCAGGCACAGTGTTTTATGGGCATTAGGGGAAATTTGATTTTCATACTGCTTTTCTTAAATTCACAGTATTACTCTTCTGGAACTTATGTAACTTGAAAGTGATTTCCAATGGTTACAGGATACTTTTCCGATATCTTGACCAGTTTTGGTCTTCATTAGTGAAACAGGTATTGTGTATTGATGTCATTTTTAGGAAATAGCACCTTTAAAAGCTAGTTATCATTTGCTGAATGCTTACAGAAGAGCCAAGCTTACGGGCGTGATCGTCTCTCTTCACAACAGCCCTTGTGCGTTAGCTGCCTTTCTTGTTACACAGATCAGGCCCGGCGTTGCAGTGGCTGTCACCGGCTCAGATGCTTTGCACTGGGGGTCTTCCTGGTGGGCTCTGTACTTGGAATTGGTGATGCTCATCTAGGTTTGTCTGTTCCTATGGTGGCTGCCACACAGCTGGTGTTGATCAAGCTGTGCTGTTCATATAAATATGTACCAGGCTTTGAAAACTTGCTATAAAAAATGAAATATTTCAGTAGTACTTTAAATATTGAGTACATATTGACATTGGTAATATTTTTACTGTATTGGGTTAGATGAAAGAAATATTAAAATTATTTCATCTATTTCTTTTATATTCTTTATGGTTACCAGGAGGTTTTTTGTTCTTTGGACACAGGGTCTCACCATGTAGTTCAGGCTGGCCTTGAACTTACTGTGTAGCCCAGGCTGGCCTCGACTCGGGGCGAACCTCCTGCCTCTGCCTCCAAGTGCTGGGATTACAGGCATGCGCCATGACACACAGCAGTTACCAGAAAGGTTTAAGCTGTATATCTCTGTAGTGCTGATCTGTAATCTTTCTTCTTAAAAGAACAGCTTTGCTTTTAAAGATTACAAGGTTCATGATGGACTGGGTGTGGTGGCACAGTCTATAATCCCGGGTCTCTGGGAGGCCAAGACAGGTGGATGGCAAGTATGAACCAGACCTGGGCATTTTAGCAACTCAGTGAGTCCCTGCCTCGAAATACAGTTTAAAAAGTGGCTGGGGTGTAGCTCAGCATAAAGACCTTGAGCTCAGTCTCCCAGATCACCCAAAGAAGGAAGGCTGGCATGAACAGTTCGCTTCTGTTTCTGATGACAGGCACTTTAAAGAGGAGGAGGCCTCCACAGCCCATTCAGCAGCCACAGCGCCAGAGGCCCCGGGAGAGCTACCAGATGGGACACATGAGACGCTAATTGCAGCTTTGCCTTGGTCCTTCCTAGTGCCTACAATGGGAAAACTTCACTCCAAAGAGAAACCTGTTAAATCATCATCTCCAGACTAAACCCTCACAAATAATAGTTGAAGAGAAAACTGGCAAGAGATCATGTCCTCAGACCAGGTGGAATTACTTAAATTTCAAAGCCTGAAAATTCCAGTTTGGGGGGTGGGGTGGAAAAGGAACCCAATTTTCTTATGGACAGATATTTTTAACCTAATGGCACAAAGTCTTAGAATACTATTATGTGCCCTGTGCTCCCTGTTCTTCGTTGCTGCATTTTCTTCACTTGCAGTCAAACTTGGCTCTGGATAAACTTTTATCAAAATTGAAATATATATATTTTTTTCAACTGCCAGTCAAGGCGTGGAGGCTCGACCACCTCAGCATCGGAGACATCCTTGCCGGTGTACATACCTTGTTCCGTGCAGACATGTATTTCCTGCGTGCCCTGTACTTCTGTGTGCAATGGTAAACAAATTGCAATATGGATGTTTCTTTGTATTATAAAACTTCTCTGCTCTTAATGAAAAATTACTGTTTAATTGACATACTCAGGATAACAGAGGATGGTATTCAGTGGTCCAGGATTCTGTAATGCTTTACACAGGCAGTTTTGAAATGAGAATCGATGGCCCTTTTTCTAATGACACAGTTGGTTCTTAGGTCATTTTTCCTTTATCCAATGGCTGCTGTGAGCACCAGGGACCTTGCCGAAGAATGCGGCCGTGCGTCACGCTGGGCGCGAGCGGTGTTCTCCCGAGCTCTCTGTGGAAACATGGTTTCTGCTTCCATAGTTTAAACTTTCTGATCCAGTTCCATTTTTTGAATTGATAGGTGAAATTTTACTCATGTTTTGGTAGGAATTATGTCAATGAGATGATTCTGTTTATCCAAAGCTTATTTGTGTTTTCCATACATCTAAAATATGCTAATTGTATTTTTGTTTGCTATGGAAAAGAAAAGCTGTATCTTTATGGAAAAGAAAAGCTGTGTCTTTATCAAGGTATTTGAACTTTTTTCAGCATATCATCACTGATCATTGATAACCACTAAGGACGAGTAATGTGCTCAACTAGTAGTTGAAGTTGTAGATAGGCATCTGACATTTTTTGACCTTAAATATTTTAACCACAGTGAACGTGAAACAGCACAATGTCCCATTCCAAGTTTATTTTTTAAGCAGATGTAAATAATTGGCATTTTTAAAGAGAAAGCAAAATATTAACAGGCTTATTGCTATGCAGGAAATGGAAGGGGGCATTACACAATTTAAGCTTGTGACATATTTATTGCTTCTGTTTTCAACTACATTACTTAAATTAGAAGTAAACAGCTATGATTTTCCTGGCTTCGTATAGGAGGAAAATTTAGGGAAAGATGAAATGATTTCTGTGATTTGGAATTTTGTTTTCCTTTTTTCTTAAGAGTATAAGGTTTACACAATCATTCTCATAATGTGACGCAAGCCAGCAAGGCCAAAAATGCTAGAGAAAATAATGGGATCTCTTCCTTGTAAACTTGTACAGTATGTGGTTACTTTTTCAAAATACAGCTTTTTGTACATGATTTAGAGACAAATTTTGTACATGAATCCCCAGATAGACTATAAATAATTCTAAAACAAGTAGGTAGAGATGTATGAAATTGCTTTTAAATCATTTCAATGCCTTTGTTTTTGGACTGTGCAAAGGTTGGAAGTGGGTTTGCCTTTCTACAATGGTGATTTTATTCTGCAAGAGTTCTTAGTAACTTCTTGAGCGTGGTAGACTTTGGAACATGTAAATTTTTTGCTTGTAATGTTATCCTGTGGTAGGGTTTTGGCAGGTGTACACTGCCTTATTTTATTTTGAGTCTAAGTTAAATGTTTTCTGAAAAGAGATACATGCACTGAACTCTTTCCACTGCAAATCAAGATGTGGTAAAAATGAAAAGATCAAGACAAGACAAATGAGATCTAATACTACTGTCAATTTAATGTCCACTGTGTTTTATACAGTATTTTTTTTTTGTTCACTTTGGAAATTTTTACTAAAAATTGCAAAAAATAAAGTATTGTGCAAAGATGTAAGGTTTTTTTGAAACTTGAAATGCATTAATAAATAGACTTGAAATCAACTGAAAGGTTCTATACTCTTTGAACTCTGAAAACTATTCAGAGAAGTTTCTTCCCACAAGGCAGCTTTTCTTTGCTAAACGAGAGGTTGTTAAGCAAGAAGCGGATGTCTCTTCCTGCACAAGTGTAGTTATTTTTATATTTTAGTTTGGAGTCTGTGAAGAAAATTTTCAGTTATCTTTGTGTTCATCACACACAGTGAACATTTTTAAAAACACTCAACTAATCTCAGCTGCACTTCACTGTTCCTCATCAATACTCACTGCTTGTCTTGGAGGAAGAGCTGAATCATATTGGAAACTTGTGGTTTTATTTATATGTATTTTTCAGAGGTTTGTATACTAAGTGCCCCTTTTGTTTTGAAGTTCTAGTTTAATGATAAGCATATTTAAAAATTTTGAGCCAACATTTTTATCTTTTGTCAGGTTCATCACGTGTATCAAACTGGCATGGGACCGGGGATTTAGCCCAGTGGTTCTGCCGCCTACCTTGCAAGTGCAAGGTCCCTGAGTTCGATCCCCAATACCAAAAATAGAAAAGAATTGGCATTGTAGAGTTACATAGAAAAGGAATTGTGAGCCTGGTTACTTTTACATGGAGTCATCTACCCCAGATTCTTTTTCTTTTTTTAAAATTGAAACTATTATAAATGAGTAATAGCCATTAAATAAATATGTAATACATCTGCAGTAGAGTTACTGTATTTTGTTAGTCTAGGACCATCAAAATAAATATGCTAGTTATCCATGAAACTATCATTATTTGTTAATTCAGATAACTACAAATTTGTTATTTTTATTTATAATTGCTTAAATTCTATTTGGAATTTTATTTGGGGGCTCTTTCCAAAATTCAGGAATCCAAAATTCACAAAATCAACAATGAAACTGGCTGTGGAGCTGGGTGTGGTGGCTCATGCTCAGAAAGCTAGCACTGTGGGAGACCAAGACAGGATGTTTACAAGTTCAAGTCCAGCCTGGGCAACTAGTGAGACCCTGTCTCAAAAAAAAGGGAGGGGTGGCTAGGGATGCATCTTGGTTCGAAGGCCCAAGGTTTAATGCCCATAACTGCAAAAAAAACCAGTTTTTGGACTCAATATTCCTCATGGTGTCAGGCGATGTCAGGCAGTTTGGGGTAGGATTTATTTAAGCTTTGTATGTTCCATCTTTTAAGGAGTCTTCAACACTCTATGCTCTCTGTACTTCATTTTTGTCATATTCAGTAAAAACCGAAGGCTTGTCCAAATAGAGTAGATTTTAAGACCCAGTGATTATTCTTTTTCCAAAGATGGGATAGGGGTTTTTGGCAGCTGTGACACTCGGGTTGCTAGTGCTTAAAAAGCCTTTAATTTCTCATTCATTCAGTATTTCTAATCAGAGGTAGCAGGGCATCAGTGTAGTGAATGGGGTATACCTAGACAGCCCATGCTCACAGGTACTCAAGAGAGATAGCCATTGTCTGTCTTTAAAGGTTCACCTGTAGAAACTAAGGAGTATGGTGGATATACTTTTAAAGCAGCTACCAAGGACAGTTTATATTTAGAGAAATTACTACAGTTGTAAGAAATTTTAGGGAAAAAATGTTTTGACTTCTAAGAAACTAAAAAGATTGCCCCACTGAGTACAGCTTTGTTTTTACCATTTTATGCAGTGGCTCAGTCATAATCCTAGCTACTCAGGAGGCTGAGGTAGGAGTATCTCTTGAGCCCAGGATATTGAGACCAGCCTGGACAGCATAGCAGGACTCTGTTTCAGCCACCCAACCACCCACTCACCCACCCAACCAGCCACCTATCCAACAAACTACCCACCCAACCACCCACCCATCCAACCAGTCAGCCACCACCTAGCCACCCAGCCAAACCAACCAACCACCCACCCAACACCAGCTTCCGTTTGATTCACTTTTCCCATTTATAACCAGTTTTATTATTTCTGGACCCAGTTCTTTATAATATTGGGAATGCATATTAAGCCTTTTTTGTTCTATAGTGACTGTTGTTATTGTGTCTTAAATATCTATCAATGTGCAAATTGCACAGAAATTGGTGCATTTTATAATTGATAAGCTTTTCATGGTATCTGTTCTTTGCTGCAGAAAGCAACAGGATGCTAGGTAAAATTAGAGGCTTAAGTAGAGTATTTACTGGCTTCTGCTGTTCCCTGAAATCTGAAATAAAATAACAGGTAACCCCTACGATGACAAAGTGAGTTGAAGAGAAGATGACGAGAACACAATTTTTGGAAACTGGAAAGCAGATGGTGGAGTCTCATCTGACTTGTTACCCATGGAAGCCAAATCCTTAGCTGGTGGTGGGGACACCGGATGATGTAGTTTGCACTGAGAGTGTAGGGACTAGTCTCTGAGACCTTCTTATGCATATGACTAAAAGCATAACATACACATTTTTGTAACTCGGCATTTTTATTTGGCATTGATACTGTAGCTACATTATGTTAATCACTATAAATACTGACTGTTGTACATTTTTTACATTAACTACTTCCCTGTTGTTCCAGGTTATTCATCTTTTAAACAATTCTATGTGGAAATCCTAAGCCTAATAATAAGACAGATTTTTAAGTGGAATTTGGGGGTTGAAGGTTTCTTAAAAGTCACTGAAAAGGGCCAGGGATTTAGCTCAGTGGTTTTGCTGCCTGCCTTGCAAGTGCAAGGTTCTGAGTTTGATCCCCATTACCAAAAAAGGTCACTAATAAAATTAGACTATTTTTTACCATAATGTATTAGAATACTTTTTTTAAAAAATGAGAACCCCAGGTTTAAAAATATGTATCTACATAGACACACAAATATATCAGAAATAACAGTGGAAGGCTTCTGCTCAGTGTGCTTGGTTAGTGCCCCCATTGTTTAGTGCCTTTTTTTGCGGCAGGGTCTCACTGTACATCCTTACTATGTAGCCCCGGCTGGCCTCAAACTTGCAGCAGTTCTCCTGCCTTAGCCTTAGTTATGTGCCTCCACACCCAGCTTTAAATGCCATTTTTGTAAAAGGAATCGAACTCTTGGCTAAGTGGTTAATTCCAAGTATATGTGAAGACACAGAAGGAGAACCCAGGAAACTACCACAGTAGGGGTCTGTCAGGAAACGCCAGGAAGCACTCTAAATAACTTTCGCCTCAAAGAACACTATCTTTGCAAGAGATTGAAGCTCGATGTATATAGGTTTTGCCAATTCATAGTTAACTACTGGGATATACTTTTAATGACAGATTCTAGCTAACAAGTCAGAAATAAAGCGTTAGGATGTCACAGTTTGCCCCAGCTGTGAATGGGTCTGGACAGTGCTCCCCACAGTGGCTGCCAGCCTCCGAAGGGCAGCGTGTCGATTTGGTGCCACAGTCAGATGTGATCCTGCTCAGGTCTCCAGGTCTAACTGGCACTTTACTAGAAATGCAGAGGATAGCAGAGCGACAGTGCTGCAAGGCATCTCATCAGCAAAGTCCAGACTGGAAAACTGCAGGATGTATGAGCCTGTTCCCTCCAACCACTAAGATGCACTAAGAGAGCAGAAAAGGATGAGTTAAAAGAGCATACACAAAGACCATTGGCAAAATAGGAAAATTGGGTATTTGATGATATCAAGGATTTTTACAGTTATTTTTAGGTGCAACAGTAGTAGGATTACATTTGTTGACAGCTGCAAATTGAAACATTTAAAAGCAAAACATGATCACTAAGATTTGTGTGAGTCACTGAGGCCTTGCGGTTGGCTGGTGTGGGAATGTAGCTTTGAAACAAGATTGGCTGAGTTGGTAATTGTTGAAGCTGGGCAGTGGGTACTGGGGAATTCATTATGCTATTTTCTCTACCTGTATTTATATTTTAAATTTTCCACTGAAGTGTTTTCAATGTGAATTGAGTTCTTAGCCTTAGTCATTACCATTTTTATTTTAGCAGTAATTCATGATAATAACCTCTACCCCTAATGATTTTTTTAGTGGAATTAAACTTGAACTAGTCAAGCTAACATAATTAATTATCTTCTGCTCCAGTTAACAATGGATGATTAATTGGTTTTGACTGCTAGGGTGAACTTTTGAAACTATCAGTCATTAAACAATTTTACTAAGCTGGCTGTTAGATCCCCTCTTGCTGTCTACTTTTTATGAGGCTTGCCGACTTTTTAAAGAAAATAATTATTTTCTGCTCACTGTGTTGGGGAGTATGCTCATATTACCTATGTAGAACTGGTGTGCGCCACACTGGAATAAATGCTCAGTAACTCAGTACAGTAAACTGGGCTCTTCTCTTTCTTGTTCAAATGATAATGACCCTTAGAGATAGAAATGTATCTTTAGAAAGATATCCTAGAATTATTTTTTAGATAGGTAAGTT